GAATATTCTGAGGCAGCCCCTCAGGGAATCCCCACAGGCAGTGTGCTCTTGGCCCTGTCCTGGCCCTGTCTCAGATTTCCTGGGCTCCTGACTTTAATTGTGATGCAGGCCAGGCCTTGACCTCTAAATTCTTTACCTTAGTTGACAGGAATTCTGACCCCATTTCCTAACTGTTCATTTTGTTTGATGATTGGGATTTAGCATTCTTCTTCTTAAACTGAACTTTGATGCCTATTAATTCTGTAGGATTCAAAATTATGTAATACTGGTCTTTAACTTCTATATGGACATTTCTGTGGGACCCACAAGTTAAAAGATATAGAATATGTTTAAAAGGACAGTATAGGTTTGTTCAACAGTTAACTGGTGGCTATTTTAGAGACTACTGCAAAGTGAATTGATAAGTGACTTTGAGACACTGATCTACAAAGCTTATGTTTGTAGCATCAAAGACACTTTATCATTTTACATTATATCTTCAGGCAAGGATTACAGTCATTAAAATTAGACGGCTTATATTTCCTTTCTGAATTTCTCCAAATAACTAGTACAGTCTCCCATCTCAAACAGTTACAGTTTGGTTGTCGACCAAGTTGTTCACCGTAAAAGGGTCTGGGTTGGGGAATAAAACAGGCTGTCGACTTGACAACCCTTTCTTGCTGACACTTCAGCTTGACAAAATGTGTCTCTCAGGCAACAAAGAAGAGAATGCTTTTGTTGCTGGCAGAAATCGACAATTAGCATAATTTTGAAACATAAAGGCCATCAAGAGTGCTAATGTTGCTAAGGGTGTGAAAGTGCTCATAAAACAACAATCACATCCCAGCCCACAAGGCTAAGAGGTTGAACTCAGTGGTTGAATGTTGACCTAGATTCCTGGTCTGGGCATATGCCTGGATTTACCAGGTCCCCAGCAGAGGGGTGTGCAGGAGGTAGCTGATCAATGATTCTCTCTCATCACTGATGTTTTTATCTCTCTCTCTCTCCCTTCCTCTTTGAAATCAATAAGAAATATTTTTTAAAAATTTATCAAACTACCCCCCACTAGCCTAATCAAATCACTTTCAGCATTCTTTCTAGGGCTCTCTTTCAGGGTTTAAAAAGAAAAGAAAGAAAGAAAGAAACAAACAAACACAGGGAACACAGGCAAAAGCAGGTAACCCAGGAAATACACTCTATCAAAAAACAAATAGTAAAAATCAATGCACTATACATAAAGGCAGCTTTTATTGGGATGAAGCTTAGAAACTGTGGCTGATTGAGATAGTAGCTAAAGAGAAAAGTATATGCAGTCTTATTTTTAAACAATTAACAATATATTTTCATTTTGCTTTTTTAAAAATATATTTTATTGATTTTTTACAGAGAGGAAGGGAGAGAGATAGAGAGTTAGAAACATCGATGAGAGAGAAACATGGATCAGCTGCCTCCTGCACATCTCCCACTGGGGATGTGCCCGCAACCCAGGTACATGCCCTTGACCGGAATCGAACCTGGGACCTTTCAGTCTGCAAGCCGACGCTCTATCCACTGAGCCAAACCGGTTTCGACCATTTTGCTTTTTAAAAAAATATATATTTTATTGATTTTTTTACAGAGAGGAAGGGAGAGGGGGATAGAGAGTTAGAAACATCGACCAGCTTCGTCCTGCACACCCCCCACTGGGGATGTACCAGCAACCAAGGTACATGCCCTTGACCAGAATCGAACCCGGGACCCTTGAGTCCGCAGGCTGATGCTCTATCCACTGAGCCCTACTGATTAGGGCTCGTTTTGCTTTCTTGTTAGCTATAATCATGGGATTTTATCAGATTTGGAGGAGCTCATTCTCTAGCTTATGGTTGATATGCTACATTCTAGTGTCACAGGATACTTTTTTCAAATAGAGTATAAGAAAGTAAATAAGAAATAATATATGAAGTCATCAAGCATAATTCCTGGCATTCAGTAGATATTCTTTTTTAAAAAATAGCATATAATTGGCATACAATATTATATTAGTTTCAGGTGTACAACATAGTGATTCCACATTATATACTTTATAATGTGGTCACCACAATAAGTCTAGTAACCATCTGTTACCATAGAATGTTATGATATTACTGACTATAATACCATGTCTTATTTCTTTTATAACTGGGAGTTTGTATCTCTTATACTCTTTCACTCTTTTCACCCATTCCCCCAACCTCCTCCACTCTGGCAACCATTAGCAGATACTATTCTTGCCCACATGCAGTGAAAATTTTATTACCTTGAATATCATCGTTGAATGTGCAATACTGGTTTCGATATTTGTTCAGGAGACGAAATGCATTTACATTGCCAAAATCTTCAAATTGAATAAGGCAATCCATGCCATACCTATGGGACAAAACATTTATGTTAGAAGAAGTTAATGAAATTATATATATATTTAAAAGCCTAAGCAACCGGCCGACCATTCGACCAGCTGCCCAGTAGCTATGACATGCACTGACCACCAGGGGGCAGACGCTCAACACAGGAGCTGCCGAGCTATGGTGACTTGGCAGCTGCGGTTCTTGGGTGAGTCACCCAAAACTAGAGAGGAGGGAGCCCGATTCCAGGGTGTGTCACCCGAGAACCGCCCTCTCGCAATCCCGGACCCCTTGGGGGATGTTGGAGGGCTGGTTTTAGCTGGATCCCCACAGGCCATGCCTAGGGACCCCACTGGTGCATGAATTCATGCACTAGGCCTCTAGTTTAAAAGTAGCCTAAAGAAAAGGAAAAACATTATTTTTTTGAAGGTCCTACTTTGCTACTTAGTATCATCCAATGCCTGTTCAGCAAATATTTAGTGCATGCTTACGTCAGAAAAAGCACTGCATTGGTACTGTGAAATAATACAAAGATAATAAAAATGTGGTCCCTATCATCAGGGAATTTAAAATTTAGTGAAAACTAAAGTATTTTTATATAAATAAGAAGAGCATGAAAAGTAATGTAAAAGTGGTATACATAGGAATTATAGATGACAAGAAAACAGGTATCACTTCTGGCTGGAGTCACAGACTGTGTAACAAATGAACTGAGTTTTAATGAATAGTTATGATTTCAAAAGTTGAGATGTGGGGTTTTACAAGCTGAGTATATAGCAGAAGCAAAAGAATCAAGGTGAAAGTTGGGGAAAAAATTGTTCCAAAGATGTCAAACCTCATTTGGCTATAATGTGGTGATACACATAGGGTGTAATGAAAGATAAGGTCAGAATTTTATGTTGGAAACCTTAACATTCTAGCCTAAGATTCTGATTTTTACTCTCTATTCATGGCCACACACTGAAAGGTTTTGAGCTTTGAAGTATACAGGATGGATTTTTATTTCTGAAATTAACTGACTTGTCTGACCCTTTATTTGTGTGATCCTTTATTCATATGATCCTACATAATTTCAACTTTGTTTTCTTCATTTTTGTACTAAAGTTCTTTTTGAGTATTTATTCATGAGAAATGAACATCTGGAGGAATTCAGAAAGGAAATATAAACTGTCTAATTTTAATGTGCTATAACCCTTACTTGAAGATAGAATGCATAATGATATAGTGTCTTTGATGCTACAAACATAAGCTTTGTAGATCAGTGTCTCAAAGTCACTTATCAATTCACTTAACAGTGGTCTCTAAAGTAGCCACCAGGTAACTGTTAACTAACACTATCATTTTGTAACTAGTATATTACAATTGTTCGTTAGGTCTTCAAAAGAAATGGCAATTGAAAACAAACATGTTCAACATCACTAATTAGGAAAAGGCAAACCAAAACCACAATGAGATTTCATTCACACTTGTAGGAATGGCTATCATCAAAAAGACAAAAAACAGCGAGTTCTGTAGAAAACGTGGAGAAAAGAGAAGCCTTGTGCTGGTGGGATTGTAAATTTATGTAGCCACTAAGAAAAATGGTGTCATGACTCCTCAAAAATATAAGACAGACAACCATATGATTCAGTTATTCCACTTCTGAATATTTATCTGAAGAATAGAAAAACTCTAATAAAAAAGATATTTACTGTCTATATTCATTGCAGTATTATTTACAATAGCCAAGATATCGAAATAAGACAACCTAAGTACTCATCAATGGAGAAATGGATAAAGATGATGTGATGTAAATATAGTGGGATATAACAGAATACACAGAATAAAATCTTGCTATTTGTGACAACATGGATGCACCTTAAGGATATAATGCTAAGTCAGAAGGAGAAAGACAAATACCATATGATTTCACTCATATGTGGAGTCTTAAAAAAATAAACAAAAACAAAATCAGCATATTTGTTCAGGAGACGAAATGCATTTACATTGCCAAATACTTCAAATTGAAAACTGCTTTTCTCTATTGGTATTTTGATATAACAAAAGAGGACAGGTGGTTACCAGAGGGGAAGGGGATTAGGATGTGGTTGAAAGGGGTGAAGGTTGGCAAGTACACTGTGATGGATGGTCACTAGACTTTTGGAGGTGATCACTTTGTAATACATACAGATGTCAAATTACAATGTTGTACACCTGAAACTTATATAATTAAAAAAATAATAATACTTTCATGGTAAAAATTTTTATCCAAATAGAAATAATTAGGACATTCCTTTATGAGCAAAGATCAGCTAATAAAATATGAATTAAGAGGAAGAAGCAAATGGTCTAAAAGTTTTATTGCCAAGATCTTAAATTCTAAAATACTCTTCTCTCTGTCCCTAGTCCTGTCTTCCATCTCTTCCACTCTTCCTCCAGTACATAATATCTTCATTCTGGTCCTTCCTTTCCTCCTAATTCATTGCATCTTGCTTCACCTGTGTATGCCAAAGACAGTTTTCCCCTCATTCCGAATAAACCCCTCACTCCTCTTATATGACACATAATTCCATGCTATGGAGTGTCAGCTTGGACCTTAACTTGCAATATTTGTTTTCAATGCCTACTGGTCCACTCCATTATCCCAAAGCAGCTTTTACAACCCTTTTTTTAATTCTCCTAGTCCCACAAGCAATCTCTTATCAGTCACTTCCTCACTAAGATTAATGCTATCCAGAGAGAACAATTTTAGCTTTCCTATCTTTCCTCTCCATTTAAAAATCTTTATACTTTTATTTCTTTTTTTCCATCTACTTCTGAAGTACCTCAACTTCCTGTTTCTAATCTTTCTATGGACCTATTGCTTCAACTTTACATCTCTGTACTAACAGCTTCCATTTCTCCTTCTCCACTGGTCCCTTCCTGAATTCAAGAATTCTCAGGACTGTTTTTAAAACCTCATTCCTTAGTCGTGACAAAACCACAGCTATGGTTATTTATTGTTCCTTCTCCACCCCATTGCCAAACCTCTCACTTCTTGTCTATATTATGCCTACACTTCAAAGACCATCTCAAACCACCACATCTTGCTATCACAATGCAGATGAGGTCACTTTCTTCGGATCCAACAAAATACTTTGTAATTATTTCCTTCCATTGTGGTTATTAATGTATTATTATATTTGTTACTGATGAACTATCTTTTTAAATCACATTAAATTCACAAGTGAAAATTGGTATATAATTTTTTGTATTTTTTTATTACTGGTGAAACACATTTTTTTTCCATGTCTATTTATAATTCTTTCTGGAAGACTGTATGTTATTTGGTTATTTTTTCTATTTTATGATCCTTTTCTTTATTATTTCATAAGAGCTCTTTACAAATTAAGATGATTAACTTTCAGACAGATTTCCCTACTGTAGTATATTGTGCCTTTAATCATTTACAGTGCTCCTATTTGTTTTTACAAAAGAAATTTAAAATTTTTTTTCCAACACCATTTATCCCCTCTCTGCCTCTTCTGCCTCCACCCCCTCCTTCCTCCAAAAAGCATCATCACACTGTTGTCCATGTCCATGAGTTCCCGCTCTCTTTTTCTTCTTTTTTACTCAGTTCCTCCACCATGAAATTTTAAATGTGATCAGGTCTTTCCATCTTTTTATTTATAATTTATACCTTTGATAGTATGCTTAGTACAGCCTTCTCTACATGCATCTTAACTATTAATCAAAATTTTATTCTAATGACATCACAAATTTAGACAATAATTAAGCTCTATAGCTGGTATTATTTTTTACTATTGGGATGTAGATTTTTCAGAAAGATAAATCAAAATTTCTATTTTCCATATAATTCACACAACTACACCAGCACTATTTATTTAATAGTCCATCCTTTCTCTCATCACCTGTAATCAGACACTATATTCTGATATATAGTCAGGTTAGTTTCTGTGCTAATAACAACAAATACTTTTTCACTTGTGTGTGTGTGTGTGTGTGTGTGTGTGTGTGTGTGGTGACTTATCCTTCACAACCACCTATGAGGCAGGTAGTACTGTTGTTCTCACCTTGTAGCTGAGCAACAGGCAGAGCATGTTGACCCTGTGGGGTAATGATAATCTAACAGTGATGATTAGTCTACTAATCTTTCTACCCAGAAAAAAATGTCTCTCTGTTGTAATTACTAAAGTTTTTAAATAACTTTATAATTTAATAATGTTATCTATCTTTCATTCTATTTTTTTATATATTTTTTAAATATTTTGTATCAGTTTGAGGTGTATAGCATAGTGGTTAGGCAATCATATACTTTGCAAAGTAGTTCCCCCAATATTTCAAGTACCCACTTGGCACCATATATAGTTATTACAATATTATGATCTCATTCTCTTTAAGTATTTGCTTGGGTATGGTGGTTGTTTAAAAACCTAGGTTCTACAGTCAGAGCTTCTGGGGTGAAATCTTGCCCTCCTTACTTATTTTGTATCCTAACTGGTCTGTGTCTCTATTCCTTCATTAGGAGAAATGAGAATAATAATGGTATATTGTAATACATTTGTTATCAGGGTTAAATGAAGTGATGCATATAAGTGCTCACCATGCAAAGATGGCATATCAAGACTCTATCATCACTAAACATATTTTATTATTTAATAGCAACAATAGAAGCCATAGACGGTGAAATATTTTCAAAGGCCTAAAAGAAAGTAATTGTCATCCTAGAATAGTATAAGGATAAGGCTGCTTCTGGCATGACATATTGAGGAGGCTGGCAAATCTGGTCCCCAAAGAGGAAAAAAATAGCAGAACAAATCTTCAAAACAACCATTTCAGTGCTATGGAAATCAACTAAAGTCAAAAGAAAAATTGTGAAGTACAATGGGGGAATGAGGTCAATTTTTAAAAGAAACAAATAAATCATATACTTCTTTTATATGTGATGCTACTCTAGGAAACTCTTTAGCTACTAGCTTTATTAAAAATTACTAAAATTTTATTAAGAATGGCCTTTCTCTGGTTATAAATTATTATGTGGTGGTT